CAAAAGCAACAAGAATTAGGAGATTACCCGAGTGTCACTACCTCATTTACTGAATCTGTGGAAAACTCTCTGGAAACTTGAGCTGCATGCCTGCTCATTTTTGGCTATTATGCAAAGAGTAATTACATTATCAACCAACCAGTAAAACAGGCAAAAACCCATGGTGAATGCTACCGTTCCACTGATCTATTTAATGGATGAATGCTCTTTTCATTTCACCTGCATCTGATTTGTAAAGGAGAGAAGGCAAAATAGAATAACAGCACTAAAACCATGAAAAAAGGGGATGGGGATGTTTGCATTGTTCTGTGAGGCACCATGCAAAGACTGACTTTTGACCAAGTTTGCACTGCTAAAGGCATGTGACTAAATTTAGCACTGCGTGGACCCATGTGTCCTGAAAATGGCACAGCCCTGTGACCATTATGCTACCAGACCCCACAGACCTACCCCTCAGCAGGGCTTGCTGTTTTGGGTACTGCACTGCACCTCCTGCTCTGGCTCTAGGGCAGCCTCTCCAAGCTTAGGGCAACTCCACGGCGATTTGCAAATGTACACAAGCTCTGTGACATTTTTCACGTAGGGAGGAGAAGAGATGGAAAAGACCGATGTTGTTGGGCATTTGAAAGCTGTGTACTTCATCTCTCTCTCCTTTTCTGTGCACCAGGTTCTTGCTGTAAGACTCCAATAGCAAACTCACTGAAGAAGACTAAAAGATTCCTACAACGTCAATAAGCTTTCAGTCAGGCCAAAAGAGCAGGGTTATGTTGTTGCCTGGCTGCTCCAGTTCTCCTATGTCCACAGTGGCAGGCTGTCAAATCCAGTAATTGACATAAAATAACCTTCTAGCATAAAATGGGAAAAGCAACAGCAACAAATGGAAATGATAAATGAGAGGGGAGGAAAAAAAAAAAAAAAAACAAAACAAAACAAACAAAAAAAAAAAAAAAAACAAAAAAAAAACAACAGCTGATGTGTTCTTAAGTTTCTCAAATACACAAGTAGTTAAAGATCGAAGAGCTGCAACTGAAAATATCAGGGCTCAGCTCCTGCCATGTGTGCCTGTCATAACTCTCCCACGGAGCCCCACCCGTGTGGTCAGCCAGCCCAGAGAACCTGGAATGCCCCCCTTCTCCGAGCCTGGCAGGGCAAATGCATCTCCTGGCGGCTGCATCATTTTGCAGTCTCCGGCCACCTGAGTAGCTGTGGGTAGCAGAGCTGCTCAAATTGACACCAGCTGGCTGAGCAGTAAAGCCTCTGCTATAACATTCCCTCTTGGGTTGACTACCCCAAACTTTTAACCGCTCAAACCCGTTGTTGCCCCTGTGCAGAAAGTCTGCAAGCCCTTGTCTGCTGGGATGCCAAGCCTTGCTGCCAAAGTCGTGCAAGTAGCTCATCGGGGCAGAACAAAATCAGGTCAAAAAACTCCAGAATTTGGTCTGAATCCCTTATAACTTAAGCGGAAAGAAGCCTGAGGGTATTTGCAGTGTTTCTTCTGTGGCCTGCTCATTTCTGAAGCAGAGTACTGGGTGAATTCACAAGTTTTAATGCAGCGTCAGAAGAAACATAAAGGTAATGTTGTTACACTACTCCAAGTGCCGGGTGAAGAGTCATAGCAGAAAAACAAACCTCACCAAACTGTTAGATGTCTCATGATAGATGACTCAGAAACTCTTTGTTTCCTGCTACACTGTTACCAATTTAGCAGGCTGCAAAACGAGAAAATGGAGCTGTGGATGACAAAGAAGAGATAATTTGTGAAAAATGCCCACAGTTTGCGGGGTAGATGAAAGACAGGATACAGCAATTACAAAATACCAGGAGACACGCTATGTGGGCAAAGGGTGTGTCCAGGTTCTTCAAACATTCGAGCAATTAAAGTCTGAGTTGTCTTTCTTTCCAGTCATTTTCGGTGAGCAGAAGCAGGTGCCTTCTCCGAAGGCCACTAGTAGATACATCAGATACATGTTGCATCTGGCAACAAATGAAAGGCAAACATTTAGGCTCTAGTAATCCTCAGTTTGCATCCTTTGTGAATTCCATGGGGGAAAAGTGTTTCCTGATAACGAAGTGTAGAAAACAGTCCTATCAGTGGGATGCCACAGCACAGAACAAGAGCAGAAGTTCAGAGGTTATTATGAGGCCCGTGTTGAAGATTATTCACCTTTGCTTCTCTTACGTGAGCCAGATTTACCAGTGAAATTCATTTCATGTGCATGCGATCCAAGTAAGGCTTCATCATCTACCACATAACCCCAAAGATAAAGAGTTAAATACAGCTTTGGGCCATGTGTGAACCACCAAAAGTAAGTGAATTTGCATTTTTATTACACTGATATAGTTTGGTGAACTAAAACAAATAACTTTTCTAAGATTTGTGAATCAGCCTGTAAATTAAAATGTTCTGTATTTCAACTCCAAATGTTGGTCAGCAGAGCAATGCTATACAATAGGCCCACAGAATAAGCTGTGATCGGTTCCTGTCATTCAGCTGTTTCAAACTGAATGCCTTAATGAGAACTGGGAGATGCAAGGTAGAATGAGAGCTTAGATTATATTTGCACAATTTGAAAAGTAACTAAACAGTTCAATGGCAATTTAACAAAGATCCATGCTTGAGGAAGACATGTCCCCGGGGTTCTTGACAGTATGGCATCTACATTCTCCTGTATTTCAGGAAGGAATTTAGAATGAGCTCAGAGGGAAAACAATTCAGAGAAAAGCCATGAGAATTATTATGGGAAATGAAAAACAGATCATAGCGTAAAACTCTGAGCACGCTATCTATTTCCATCACAAAAGAACTGATTGAGGAGTAACAGAGTTACAGTCTCTATATACCAGCACTAAGCACACAGCATAAATGAGCTTTTCAGTATAATGGACAAAAGTATAACAAGATGCATTAACTGAAAGGTGGACAGTTCAAGCTAGGGATAAGGCACACATTTTTAACAGTGAAAGTAATTGAAACAATTTACCAAGGACTTCACTGATTCTTCCATCAATGAGGATACATATAGAATGGCTGGAGATTTTTCTAAAGACAGCTGAAACAAAAATTAATTCACAGGAGCTCAATGGCATGTCATATACAGGAGGTCAGACTAGATTATCACAAATAGGCCTTTAGGGCTTTGAAGTCTGAGAATTTATGGGAGATTGAAAAGATATTAACAAATATTCTTCCAGTAGAATGTCTTTAACAAAGATCAATCTCTCTATCTATCAATGGATTTTCCATAATTTCCATCACTGTCTTAAGTCTTTTCCAAATAAATTAGATTAGTGTAGTGAGATCAATAGTGATTTCACAGCATCTTCTCTTTTTCAGCCTGCCTCAGTTATTGAAAGAACTATCTAGCCTAAATATATACAATCTTTTATTCCATTTGAGAAAGAGCCCATCCAATTATATCTAATTAAAGCATGTTAAAATGAAAGTTTTAATGAACACAGTAAAACTACCAACTAAGAAAACTTCTTTAAAAATTAGCTCTGAACATTTTTCTATCAAGGGCTAAGTATTTTTACAAAATAACTTTGTTTACAGTTTCTAATTTCAGATTTTTTTGAGTTAGTCAAGTGCAAAAGTTCTGGTTGGACCATGTGGAAAATAATTTTTACATGCTTTAATAGCCCTGCTGACTTTCTTTCATCTTTCAAATACCCCAAACTTTGTCACATGCTAAAACAAAGTCTGGAAAACGTCAGTCCCAGAAAACATGCTTGTCAAATTAATAGCAACCAGAAAAGGAGTGGTCATATTAAAAACTGAACTCAGTGATAATTAGAAAGGAATTTTGGTTCCTGTTACCAGTTTGCCTGACCTAAGATGCAGACATTAAGAGACCTGCCAGCAGAAGTTGCTCAGGAGATGTGCTGAAGCAGCCTGCCTCTTGGTGCCCAGGCTGTCTTTTCTCCCTGGCTGACTTCACCCACAAGCCGCATCATGCCAATTTACTCCAGTCCTTTCCCCTCCCTCCTCAGCAGAGTTGGATGTTGCAACCTATTTACAGTGAGGAGATTCTCTTGCTGGGTGAACTTTCTGTTACCTGGCAGGAGGAATTCCTTGGGAATGAATGCAGTCTCAGGATCTGTGAAACAGCTAAGGGATTAGAGATGTCTTTTCAAGTCACTGGAGGTTTCTGATAAAGAGCACAGCAGCACTTTGCCGGAAGTGCGGGAGAGTACTGATCCCATGAAAGACTATGGGAGATTTTTTGCAAGTAGGAACTGAATATTCATGTTAGATATTGGCTGTTATTGCCCCAGTCCCGGTGAAAAGTGACGGCTGCAAATTTCACAGGTTTTATGCAAGTCAACTCACACTGCTGAGGAGTGGTATATGTTACCCGGCATGACAATGCATAGAGAATCCAGACTGGGAATATCCACGGTACAGTGAGATCAGCATGGTGCAAGAGAAATTTTTCCTGCTTCTGTCTGCCTCTCTTCTTTCACATCTGTACTCTTAAGGCTTTGTGTCCGTTGAAAGACCCTCAGGTGGAACCTGTGGTAGAAATGTATGGAGCCAGGCACACTATTGTCTCAGCACCACCAGAAGAAAGCCATTTGGTGGCTTCCCAAGAGCTTTGCAGCGGAGGAGAGGCTACAGCTGCCTTGCTCTACCATAGTCTTACCCTTGGAGATACATCCACTGTCAAGACACCCAGGTTCTGCTTCCTGTTACATTCAAATAGGGTGGACCTAGCTTATTGTCTGAAGTGCACTTCAGTGAAAAACAAAACAAAACAAAACAAAAATAAAGTGGTCACAACTGAAATAGTTGGGGAATTCGTGAAATAGTGTGGACTTAAAAGAACAGCTTCTTTCCACAGTGAATGGAAGCAAAAGTGGCTGTGAATCTCATTTCAGCATCTAGCAGAAAAACTGCCAGCCTAGTTATAGTAAAGATGATAATATTATGTTGTTTAATCTTATCTGGATATGTCCCCTCCAGTGGTTTCCTGCTGGTAAACCACAGAGAAGAGGGGCAGTATTAAGTAAACTAGAGGAAGTGAGATGAAATATAGTATGCGCCTTTGGTTAATAGGGGATTCATGTGAAGTATATTGCTGATTAAAACCAATAGTATTTTCTTCCATCTGGGCTTTCAAAACCAGTTTCAGAGGATACAGAGGATGTTTTGTTTCACTGAATTGCTCGTAGTCTAGGGAAGCCACTGGGATGAAGTATTAGTATTGTGGTAAACTGCGCTTGTTCTTCAAGAGCAACATGTGAAATAGGCACTTCACAGCGTGTGAGTAGATGGTTTCACCCACGTAATGTCCAAATGAAAGGGCAGCTTGGGGTTAGAAGAGCAAAATCCACCCTCAGCCTACTCAAGAAACTGCAAAACAGTCGTGGTTACTGGAATAAGAGCTCTTGTGTCCCCGGGCTATGTGCATGTGGCTCCGGGGCTGTTGGATCTACTGGAACCTGAAGTCTGTGGATTTGCCTGCAGCACTGACCTTGGCACCAGCCTGCGGATGGCACGGATGGCACGGTGATTCACAGGCAGTGTGCAACGCCGGCAGCTGCCTCCCTGCTACTGCTCACAGCCCTCCTCTGCTGTGACCAGCGGGAGTTGAGGTTGCTCCAAAGACCTAACCAGAATTCCCTTATAGAGCACCTCACCTCATTAACTGCATCAGGAAATACCGAGCAGTGTCAGCAAAAAGACTGGTGAGTGAGATGACATCTTTATGCATTGGTGAGATCTTGTGCTCAGTGCTTACTTACTTCACCTGGATTCTAGGCTTGTGCCCAAGGCTGAGAAACAAACTTAAACTTTCTTCAGCTTGCCTATTCATGAGTGCCTTGTGTCAGCAAAACGTGCCTCATCATGTGGCTACCGGATGTTTTCTCCACCTCCTGCACCACTTCCAAGGATCCCACTCTGACCCACTTCCCCAACAATGAATGGAAAAGTCCACTTTTGTCGTTAGAGTTGTCTGCATCACTGGGAACAAACAGTCTGTAGGAGATGTTGGAACAATTCCCTGCATATTAATAGTGTCTGATGACTGGCTTCAAATGTGGCTGAGCTGGGTACTTTGAAATTAAATATGAAGGGGAGAAGTAAAGAAAAGATACTGCAGGAAAAAGTTGGCACCCCTCTTAACCAGAGCTGCCCAGGCTGTGGCCTGTTGGATGTCTCCTGTCCAGTTTCTGCTTGTATGTTATCTGGCCCATAGCTGAACTGGTACAACACCTTCCGGGTCCATACTGTCAAAGACTGGACTGTCCTGCTGTAAGGGACTTTCCCCAAATCTGTGGCAAGTGAGTGTCCTTCATGAGACAATTCAAGTAAAATACATGCAACCTGGAAGAATTAGAAGCTGAAGGGAAAATCAATCTCCTCCTTTCTCCCCACCCTTTTCAATTACATTTTTTTTTGTTTAACAGTTTTCAGTTTGGGCAAGGGATTCCTCTTATCTAATTTGCTCTTCTGCTCCTGAGGCTTGAACAGCCCTTTATTATTGCAAGAAGCTCCTGTTTACCTCTTTTCACCTGTGTCCTTGTTTCTGGCCCTTGTTCTTCTCTTGTTGACTCCCTGAGGGTACACAGATGGTAGCCTGGAAGCCAAAAGGAATGATACTGGAGGAGTGAGAGAGTGAGGGGGAAAAAAAGTGAGAGAGGGAAAAAAAAAGTAAGAAAGAAAAAAAAAGCAGTGATCACAGCAAGCCTCCAGACTCTCCTAACAGCAAAACCCTAATACATATCAGTGTGCTGGATCTTGTCAAGATGCAGGTAATGTATCATTTTGGGAATGCAACCTAAACAACATTTAGCTTGTTGGCTGTAAATGTTTAGACCTATTAAGTAAGGTGTCACAGTTCCGTCATGAAGTACTGTCAGCTGAGAAATATTTTTTTTTTTATTCACAGGCAGTGCCACGGTTAGTCTCTTCTTTAATGGTGGACGTCAGCCTCAGAAGCACCGCAGAGCAGAATGCCTCAGCATTTCCCACGTCCCAGCACAGCCCGCTTACACAGGCTGTGGGCACTGGGTGCAGAGGGGTGAGTTCGCCCTACGTGCAGGAAGGAGTTAATCTCACCGCTGCAGTCTGGTAGGGGCTGACCAGCGTTTTTTTTCAGAGGATAAGGAAGCGCCGTGACTTACAGATAACTTCAGTCAGGTTTTTTCAAGCATAGCGTGCTTTGGGATAGTAGGTGAAACACGGAGGTATTCGTGGGGAAAACTGGTTTGCATCCAAGGCACTTTATAAAGCGAGCCTTTAAGAGGAAACTCAGTAAACGCAAATATTGTTCTTCGCATACAAATTATTAGAGCCCTGATACCTATCAGCGTGGCACGCCGTCAGCTTCCTAAGTTTGCACGTGAAACGCAGCCGAGCTCGTCAAAGAACAATTTCTCTTCCCTGACGATACGGGCGGCAGCGGATCAGCCGCGGCAGAGGTAGGTCAGGCCTTGCACCGGCCAAGTTTAGCAAAGCACAGCGAGAGCCCGGCCCCTGCGCGGAGCTCGGCGGCGGGGGCTGGGGGGGGGGGGGGGGAGGCAGCCGGTCAGGTGGAGCGGCCAGCCCGGAGCGGGCAGCGCGGGGAGCAGCGCTCCGTCACGCGTGTTTCATGGAGCGTGGGGTCACCGGGCGCTTCCCGGGTGGGGGGTGCCAATGGCTGGGCGCAGAGGGGCGGTTTCAGACCTGAGGAGAAGGACGTGGAGACATAGCGCGGTGGGTGGGTGGGTGGGTGTGAGGGCTAGCTGCGAAGAGCGAAAAGGAGAAGAGAAATCGGGAAGGGCTCTTGCTCAAGAAGATCCTGAGAGCGGGGAGAACAGCTGTTCTGGGCATCCAGTTCTCCGCCAGAGCGAGGGAGGCAGCGTACAACGTGAGTGACAGCAAGGAGAGGAAATTCAGCAGTCGCTGCAAAGAGTCTGAACTCCAGAAGGCAGCTTGTCCTCGGAGCGAAAGGGGCGCGTTGACATAAGCGGCCAGAGCACTCCAGTAACGAGCACTTGGCCAGCACAGAAATGGGAGGCAAGGACTGCCTGCTACACTCTGGGCTGCACTCACACCTCTCCTCGTTCCCTGTCCTTCCATGGACATTTTCCAGGCTGGTTTTATAAGGAATGATCCTTGCAAGAAAGATGCTGTCTATAACACAATTAAAGTGGAAAAATACACTGTTCCTTTCACTTACAGTGTATTTTTTTCTGAGGCTCTTTGTCAAGACAGGAATATTATTCCTGTGGTCATGCTTCACTACAGAGACGGTCTGATGCCTACCTGGACTAGTGATTTTGGGTGGAAATTGTAACATTCAAAAATATCATTTTAACTAAAACAATAGCACTCAAGAAGGCACCTAAACACTAACCAATTAATGTAATGTTTGCCAGTGCTTTTAGAGGAAGCGTTGACACCTTCAAGTTTATTCTAATAAGCCTGGGTGAACCTATGCTTAAATTTGTGATTGTGGACTGTATTTCTTGAATTAAAAAGTATATAAAAGGAACAGTTAAGCACAGTAACCTAAAATTTGGCCTACCCTGGGTGTTTTGGATCTTTGGCATACACGTGGCAGTTCCTTTCCACTAAAGCCTTCTGCTCTGTTTCCAGCAAAGGGTAGACAGTGAGGAGAAGTTTACAAGGCAGCGGAAGACTTGTAAATGTCAACAGGCAGCCTGCTCCCCAGAGCTGAGCGAACTGGTACAACCAGAAAGTTACGTACCCACGAGAGGTGGGCGCGGGCGGAGGGGAAAGCAAGCGAGAGAGGACTGGAAAAACATAAAAGAATCCTGGGCTGTTTCTGGATGAGTAGACTTTATTCCAATGATGTTGCAGGCCTTGTAATTTGGGGTAGCAGATGGGAGCAGCCGCATCGGTCCCGATAACATCTATTTTGCAACCTCTGTGTAGAAGTGGGCCCTATGATTGCAGATACAGTCCCTTGCAGAACTGGCCCGCAAAGTAGAAATAGGGAAATTCGAATTCCCAAACCAGACTTTGGTTTGCTTAGCAGAACGTGTGGAGGAGGTGGAGGAAATGCGGCTACCTAGCCATGGCTTATTTGGCAGACAAACTAAACCCGTTCAGGGCCGCGCAGCAGAGAGGGAAGGCACTGCCGCTCCTGACCGTGTGCAGTTTCAGAGCGGTATACAGGGGGCAGAGCGCGCAGGACGGCTCCGAGGGCTCCGCTTCTTCGTTAGAGGTGTCTCCGGTTTAAAGCTGTAGGTGAGCCGGGGCGCCGCGGGACGCGAACAAAGCCGGAGGCAGCCAAAGCCTTGGCGGGGGTCGCCCCCCCCACCCCCCCCCCCCCCCCGCGAGCCCGGAGGGGCTCCGAGGGGCTTTCGCTGAGGCAACGCAGAACCCAGCGGGGCGACGCGGCGGCCCGGTCACCCCGGGGCTCCCGCGGGAGGGAGCCGGGGGGGCGCAGGGGCCCGAGGGCGGGCGGGGCCGGGCCGGGCGGCGTTGTCCAGGGTCTTGAAAACGAAGATGGATCCATCGTTCCCGCCCCCCCCCCCCGCCCCCCTCATTCCCGTGCGGGTCAGGGGCCGCGCCGCACCCGCACCGCTCCGCCGGGGCTTGGCGGGGGCCCGATCCGGCCGGGCCGGGGCGGCAGCCCGCGCTCACCGGCTCGTTGCCCCGGCACGGGCCCTTCCCGGGTCCCGTGCTCCCCGCTCCCCCCGCCCCACCTGCTGCTCGCTTCCCGTTCACAGCCTGGGCCCGGGGCGCCCCGCGGATCCCCCTCCCGCCACCGCGGGGGGAGAAGGGAGGGGGGAGCGGGGGAGGTGGGAGGCGGTGGACACGCCGCGGGGGCGGTGTTTTGGTTGCGCGACAGCGAGAGTGACCAATGCGGAGTTAGCGGTCGCCCCGTTCCTCCCCCCCCCCCCCGCCCCCGGGGCCGGGGCGGTGTAGCCCGTGGGAGGCGTGGCCGGAGGGCGGGGCTTGCGGGGCGTGGGAGAGCAGGCGGGAGCGTGCCGGCGCTGCCCCCGCCCCTCGCGCCGCCTCTCCCCGTCCGGCGGGGGAGGCGCGCGCCAGACCCAGCGCGGGGCAGAGCGCGAGGGAGCGGGCGGCAGGGCGGGGGTGGGAGCACGACAGGCGAAAGAGTGAAGCGCGGCGCGGCGCGGCGCGGTGCCAGCCCGCGAGACCCTCAAAGGACGCTCCTCCCCACCCTCCCAACCCGGTTCCGTTAATGTCTCCGGCGCCCCGCGGGCGGCGTGTCCCGCGGGAGGTGGGTGGGTGGGTGTGGGGGAGGAGCCCGTGAGCGCCGAGGGACGGCGGGGTGAGCATGGGGGTCCCGCGGCGGGAGCAGCCGGAGCGCGGGCAGCGGCGCGAGCGGCGGCGGCGGCAGCAGCAGCAGCAGGTAAGGAGCGGCTCCCGTGCCCTGCGGCGGGGCGGGGGACGCGGGCGGGGTGTTTTCCCTCCCGGGAAGGACTCGGGAGCGGTTTGGGAGGCGGGGGGTTGCTGTGGGGCGAGACCCATCTCCTCTTCCCCTCAGGTGCCGCTGGGACGGAGACTCGGCTTCTCCGGGCTCCGCGGGAGGACGGAGGGCTGAGGGGGGGGGGGCGGGGGGGGGCGGGGTGGAAGCGGCGAGGAGCCGCGAGCTCCCATTTTCCCACCCCCTCTCCCTCCTCCTAGCACCCCGTCCCCGCCGCGGCCCGGTGGGGTGGCTCTCTCCCGCACTTCGCTTTTATAAAACAGCGTTGTGCTCGGCTGTAGAAATCGTGGCCGTGGGGGCGACCGGGGGCGTAGAGCGGGTCGCCAGTCACCTGCAGGGCGGGTCTGCCGCCGGCCGGAGCGGCTCCGCGCCCAGCCGCCTTGCCCCCGCCTCGGAAGCCCGCTGAAAGAATAATGGCAATTACGGAGTAAGTTTGCCGGGCTCGGACATCTCTGGGGTATCGCTGTTTTTCGGAGCGGAGACGGTGCAATGGGGACCGGCAAGCGTCTGGGGTGGCAGAGGGGAAGATCCTTCAGCCCGCGGTTTTACTGCTGTTTATTGAGTTATTGTGTACGAGGCGCAACCTGGATCTTTTTTTGCACTCTTTGTTATCTTGTAACACACTGATACGTGTTCAGTGGTCCGTTCTCCAAACTTGGTGTTCGAGTCGTTAAATGATAGTTGAGATCAACTTTGCTTTAGATTTTGTTTTCCCGGCTCTGTCCCTTCTCTGTGGTGCTCGGCAGCGTTTTGCTGAGGTGGTGCATGTACGTCCGTGTGAATGTGGAAGTAGGGTTACGCAGTCCTGACAAAGACAACTCTGAAGTTGACAAATTTCAGGTACGGATACTAACGTTCACGAAGTGGGTCAGTAATCTAGCTAAGTACTTGGTGCTGGATTGTTTTAACATATTAGCGATTTGAATATTTGCTTTCAGCCTGCTATTACTAGAGAAAAGGAGCTTTGTTTTTTTATGATGCAGAAGACATGCAAAGTTAAAGAGAATTGCACATGTAAATTTTCCCGAGCTCTTTTGTGCGCAATTTTCACTTCTAAAACTTAACACTAGATGGCTTTCTTATATCAGATATCCAACAGAGGAGGGAAACATGTAGGCTGCATAGACAGATTACTATTTCTGTATTTGTCTATTTTTTTTTTTTTTCCTTGCGTGAATAGTAAACTACCTTCTTGATCAGTTCTGCACTGATTAGACCAGAGCAGAATTTGAAGCTTGCTTGCTGGCTGACATAATTCATTGTTTTTATCAGTTCATCTTGCTGTTTATTAGACAGTATTTTATGTATGTGATACCAATATCTAAAGGAAGTTTGTTTGGTTGGTAGGTAACTCGGCAAAATATTTAGGTTGCTTTAAAGGAAGGCAGCTGGATAAGGAGGGATGTTTGAAAATGGGAAAACACAAATGATTCGGTCTCAATTGTTAGTTTGATGGAATGGACTTATTTTAAAAGGACTGTAGTGCATTAATACTGTTTGTTCAGCTATTTTTTCCCCAGATTCTGTACCTAACTTAGACTGAAGTATTTTGGAGTTGGATTCAGAAACATAATGCATCACAGTCTGCTGGATATAGGAATGCCAAGGCCTGATGCCTTACTAATCTATTTCTCATGTTTTTTTTCTTAAACTGTGCCTGTTGTCAGTGGAATGCATTCTTTGCCCCCCCATTTGCTTCTTCAGTAGTGGCTCTGAAATACTTCAGTCTTAAATTTGATCTTTGAAATATCTTTTATTATTAATGCAAACATGTTTAAAGCATCAAGAGCTCTAATGCAGTATGGATATTTAAACATCACTTAGGCTCCACAACAGTTCATGTAAAATTTATGTAGCATTCATATAAAGCTAGATTTCAGAGCAGTCCCTGAATGTATTGTCTTGGTTTCACATGCCCAGTGGGTTACCTTACTAGGTCATGCAGCACTTAGATATAGCGAACAGGAATACCTGTAAGGATGCCAGACTGTTTCACCAATCGTATTGGATCAGTTAAAG